AGTCGATTGAATTTTTGTATATGAAAGTTCTTGACTCAGATCGACCAGCCATCAGGATTGTAAATAATCGCTACTTCTCCGAGCTGTTGATTCCTACAAAGGTGATATATCCTCCGGATGTGCTGATTGTGGAAATCCAGAAAAATCCAATGTTAACTCCTAGCGTTGTCGATCCGCTACGAGAATGGTGCAGAAACTGTATCATCACTCTCGAATACGGTCAGCTATGTTTGTAATCAAGTCTCTTAAGCTGTTTGGATAACATGATTTCAAAATTACTAATTTTTCTAATTGAACGCCATTTTATCATATGCCCTTATATGGTCTATGGTAACCGTATTTCAGCCTGTGGTATCGGCAAGAGTAACTTCACAATAAAAGAACTGATTACCGCCTGTGCAGACCACGAATACATTAGACCACCACCAGGAGTGGTTTTGGTCATCACATCTGATATGGTGACCCAAGAGCAGCTGGATCGGTTACTTGCCAAAGTCGTCTACTTGGAAATGTGTATTGAAATCAAACACTCCAGTATTATGAGCTTGCGAATACCTAACCTCAAAGAAATAAGACCTTGTCAACCGGGTCAGTTTGTACAGATTTTGGAAATTAGATCTCAAATAGTCTAGTTTCGCAACCATTTCCTATGAAACCCTTATTCCTTACCAAATTTGCAATAACGCTGATTTTTTAGGTCGTCCAGCTATCCTAATTGAGAACAACGTTCACTTTGAGGAGCTTATCATACCACCAACTGCTATATATCCGGCAGGAGAATTGATCATCAGAATTGTGCGAACTCCTTCTCTTCCGCACACAACTATTAACGAGATACAACAATGGTGTCCATACTGCACCGTCACTCATGACTACAGTTCGTAGATTTTCTTCATTCCATCTGACTGGGGTTGGGGAATGGACATAACTTCAATTTTTGTCAGAAATCACCCTTGCGATCTTTCTTAATAGCTAAGAAAACATTTCTGAACTGCGCACTTTTGCCTTTCTTCGCCTCAAGTGTCAATCTTTACATTAAAACCAAAAGAACCTGAACTAAGTTTTTAGCAATTTTGCTCTTTTTCCCTCAATAAGAAAAGCCTTTCAGTCTG